GTACCCTTGTAACAACACTCAGAGAAGCCCCAAGGCACCAAACTAAATTAGCATTACTACTGGTGCAAGAATACCAGGTTTCCTGTTTTCTCCAAACTGCTACCATCTTAAACTATGTAGGATTTAGTTATTTCGAAAATAACTACACTTTTTTACTCCAGTTTTCAGAAATCAAGAACAAAAAGTTGATATATTAGCCCAGACTAAAATATCTCAAGGAAAAAAAAAAGTTTTTAGAATAATACATTTTCACAAAAAGTTATTCACCTATAATATGAAATAATGCAAACTAAGCAAGGAGAAATAATTATAATTTCTTTAATTCCTTCTTAAAGATTAAAACTTTAAATATCTTCCAAGAGAAGTTATTTTTCTCATAACTAATACTAGTAAATATCATAAGTATATTTGAAAAACTAATTTGTAGTAAACTATATATGTAATAAACTAGCTATGATGCTGAAGAAATTCCCAAAATCACTATTTTCTTTAGGTGAGCACTTTTCATGTATTAAAGAAAAAAGAACTACAAAATGCCGTGGGCCTCACTTTAAATGCATTCAGATATTTTTTAATACTGTTATATCAAAAGTTTCATCTGTAAATTCACCATTGAAGGTGAAGTGGAAAACGGTAATAATAAGTAAGTGATTGATACAAGTGAGTGTATGACTCATAGTTTGCAAAGGAAAATGATTTTTGGGAAAAGACTTGGGAAGAAGAGAAGCAAATAATGGATTATGGATGAAATGAAGACCTTTCCTGTCTAAGGACTGTCACCAGTTCTTTATTCCTTGAAGATTAAGGGAATGGTGAATAAAGCTGTCTGCCAGACAGCAGAAAAGGTAAGAAATAACATTGTCTCTAAGTGTACCTCACAAGAAAGTTTTCAGATATAACATTGATAAAATTAAACTTTCTATAAAAAGTTACTAGAAAACCCAACTCAAATCAGAACAAGGAAAATGTCAAAATAAACCAACATTACATTTGTCAGGTACTTGCACAGAATGAAACAGCAGTGTAGGTCAAGTTGTACAATCATCTAATTTTATTCCACTTGGTTTTAGGAAAAAGTTGTATACTATACTGATTTGCTAGAAGACGTAACACAGTGTGTTTCTGTTTGTTTTTCTAGTCCGTGGGTTAGTGCAAAATAAGCATTTGGCTTTGTTACTAGGGTTCAATAAATTAATACAATGTACTTTGGTTTTTAGTTTCAGGGACAAGTTCAAGCCGCTGAATTCAGTTCCAATTTTTACTAACTGCCCTACCCTTTCATACATACACACACACACACACACACACACACACACGTGTATATATATATATACGTGTATATATACACGTATATATATATACATATATACGTGTATATACACACACATACATATATATACATACACACATATATGTACATGAATGTGCATATATAGATGTATATATACGTATATGTAGGTGTATATGTATGTGTATACATCCATATGTATATTTATGTATGTATATATATACAAACACACTAAAATATATCATATATATTTCAATATACTTTTTTTAAAACTCACAGTTATGTATGGATTTTAATTGTTATCCCTGCTTTATGGATCTTTTCAAAAACACCAAGAGAATTTCATTTTGATGAAGTCACATTCGACAAGAAGTTTTATCCAATTTAATATTTTAATTTACATTTTCATGCATATTTGGAGTCCCACTACATGACAGCATTGAGCTAAATACTTTGTACACATAAATTCATTTAAGAATACTGGGTTTAGCTGGGTGCAGAGGTTCACACCTGTAGGACCAGCTACTCAGGAGGCTGAGACAGGAAGGATCACCTAATCCCAGGAGTTTCAGACTGCAGTGAGTTAATGATCACACCACTGTACTTCAGCCTCAGTGAGAGAGACAGATTCTCTCTCCAGAACAACTAAAATTTTAAAAATTTTTAAAAAGAATGCTACATTTATTTTGTTAGAGGTATACTGTCCGAGGAAAAGGTAAACAATATTTTTATGAAGCAACCCATATCATATCACTGATGGATTTTGTATGAACAGCATCCAGTCGTTGTAGTACACCTTATGCATATAGCTTAAATTTAGCTCATGAAAACTGTCTGATCCAACATGAAAATTTCAGAAAAAAGAAAAGCTGGGTGTGTGCACACATGCACGTTTCCTAGACAAGAGCTTCAAACCCAGGCAATCCAGTTCCAGAATCTTTGCTCTTAACCACTAAGCTATATGTTGGAAAAGAAGAAAGGTGTGACATAAAAGTAACTGATTTAGATAAAAACAGTAGCTTCTAGAATAAGGGATCACATTTCTGACGTCAGTACACTAAGAAATATAAGAATTATATTATCTCTAAAAATTGAAGACAATTTACAATACTTTCTTCTCTTGTGAATATACATCTCGGAAAGTTTCTAGTTTTTTCTTTTTGAATATTAAATCACTTAACATTTTTAAAGAGATCACACTTTAATTTAATTAGATCTTATCTAATTTAATCTAGATTAAATATTTAACTTATGATCTAAGGTCATAGTCTAAGATCTTATTGAATCCTTAATCCTCTCTGTCCATAAAGAGAAAAAGACTTACTTAAGATATTGGCTTAGGAAATTGTGGAGTACTTGTATAACCAAAATCAGCAGAGTTATGTGTGTATACATGCATATATATATATATAAATATGTGTGTGTGTGTGTGTGTGTGTGTTTATGCATGCTAAGGTATATGTGTATATATATGTATACACACACACACCGCTGTATGGGTATATACACATACACACACACGGTTTACCCTTGAACACCACAGGTTTGAACTCTGAAATTCCACTTATTTGTGGATTTTCTTCAGCCTCTGCCACTCTTGCAACAGCAAGACCAATCCCTCCTCCTCTTCCTCAGTCTATTCAACAAGAAGACAAGGATGAAGACTTTCATGATGACCTACTTCCACTTAACAAATAGTAAACATATTTTATCTTATGATTGTCTTAATAACATTTTGTTTTCTCTAGCTTACTTTATTGTGAGAATACAGTATATAATACAAACAGCATATGAAATATTCTGTTTATAGCTGGGTGCAGTGGCTAATGCCTGTAATCCCAGCACTTTGGGAGGCCGAGGCAGCTGGATCACTTGAGGTCAGGAGTTCGGGACCAGCCTGACCAACATGGAGAAACCCCATCTCTACTAAAAATACAAAATTAGCCGGATGTGGTGGTGCATGCCTCTAATCCCAGCTACTCCAGAGACTGATGCAGAACAATTACTTGAACCCAGGAGGTGGAGGCTGCGGCGAGCCAAGATGGCGCCACTGCACTCTAGTCTGGGCAACAAGAGCGAAACTCTGTCATAAAAAAAATATGTGTTTATGTTTTCAGTAAGGTTTCTGGTCAACAGTAGGTTATTAGCAATTTTTTGGAGAGTCAGAAGTTATACATGGATTTTCAACTGTGTAGGGGTCAACACCCCAAATTCCCACATTGTTCAAGGGTCAACTGTCTGTTAGTTTTGTTTCTCTGGAGAACTCTAATGCTTCAGGGTAGTTGAAAACTAAGGCTTAAGAAAACAGGGAACAGGAATTCATATTCATATCTTTGTCTCCAGTCATTCCTGAAAGGATTATAAAATAAAATTCTGAAGAAGCTCTGCTGGATTCAGTTTTCATACACTAACCACTCAGTCAGTGTAATGTTATTTTTCTTTTAAAACTGTTATTTGACAAAACTAATCAACTCTGAGGAACAGTCACAGACTAAAAAAGTTGAACCTAGAGGAATTCCACTCCTAGATATATATACCCAAGAGAACTAAAAACATATGTCCATACTGAAACTTATAAGGCCAGGCCTGGTGGTTCATGCTTGTAATTCCAGCACTTTGGGAGGCCAAGGCAGGAGGA